AACACTAGGTCTTTTGGGCCCCCTGTCCACGCGGGGATGGGATGTGGGACATGTGTTACCCCCATTCTAAGAGGAAAAAGATGAGGTTCAGAGAGGGGCCTGCCATGTGGTTGCCGCCAGCACGGCTGGGGACTTGAAGCCAAGTGTCTGCATCCTAGACTCAGGGCTTTTATTGCTGCCTCATGCCTCTTTAGTTCCTGCCAGGTGCAGAGGCTGCTTCCAACCTGTGTCTACTCTGAAACAGTAACCTGGTGCCGGGCATCGGCCAGGGCTCTGGTAGCTGTTACTAAGGGACTGAGAAGGTGGGAGGGCTCCGCTGCTGGGCCTGCTCAAGCCTATGCCAGCTCTCCAGGAGTCTCCATGTCATAGGGCCTAGGAGGAGGGGCCGGTGAGACCTCACTAATGGAATCACTAGGTCAGGAGGTCAGCCTCCGAGGCCACAGTCCCTTCTTCCTGGGTGCCCTGCTTTAGTCACAGCTGTGGTAGCCTTTAGTGTCTCTAGGGTGACTGACTATCCTGGTTTACTCCAGCCTGAGGAGGTTACCAGGATTTAGGACTTTCAGCTTTAAAACCAAAACAAATTGGTTGCTCTTCTCTCTCCCCAAACAGTCCTGGTTGACGCACTTTTCCTCACGGGGTCCCATGCCTCTCCTTGTACCTTAACCATCACTGCTGTTCAGGGCCTATGAGCACATGGCTAGTGGCATCAGTGGCCCTGAACCTTCTGGCTTCCTCCTGGCCTGGCACAACAGCTTTGCTGAACCATTGCCCTCATTTCTCAGAAGTCTGTTACCCGCATGGGCTGGGCTCATCAAGTGCCCTCCTGCAGGCCACTGACCCAATGGCTACTGAATGCTTACTATATGCACAGGATGCACAAGGTCCCATAGTGAGGACACACCTGAACTACTGTTCCCCAGGCAACGTGCAGTACTAGAAGTATGTCTGGGGGAGGGAGGGCAGGCTTCTGGGAGGTGACATGGGATTGTGGGGGTGTTTGTGGCACATCTTGTGCAAAGGTGGCACGTTTGGAGAAGGCTAAGCAGTCCAGGGAGAACGGGGCTGGGAGGTGCACCGGAGGGGGCAGCGAAAGGCTGGCCTGTCACACTAAGATGCTTTACTCAGCAGACACAGAGACATCAGTCAATGAGGAGGGCTCACTGGCCAGGAAGGATGTGGCCCCTTCCCAAACCAGAAGGCAGAATTAAGCTTCCATCCCTACCCCCACCCCCTGCTGGTCTAGGGCAGTGGCTCCCCTGGTATGGCCGGAGGGAAGTCCGTGGGAGGCACCCCTGCCTTGGGTAAAATGCTCTTGGGCTAGAGCCGTATTCCTCACCCTTGTCTACACGTTAGAATCGTCTCGACAACTCTTACAACTCCTGATGCCCAGGCTGCACCCAGGGCCAATGAAATCAGAATGGAACAAGGTAAGACCCACACACGGGTATTTTTAAAATCTCCGGGGGGATCCCAATGTAGAGCCAAGGTTGAGAACTCTGTGCTAGAGGGACACAGGGATGAGCCAGGGTGGGCCTGCTCACAGAGGTCCTATGTCAGGGAACTTACCAACTGTACTTGAGGGGCCAAAGACCCACCAGATCCCCCCACCACCACCCCACTTCCCTCCTCTCCCATGTGTCATATGAAATGAAAGGACACAAAAAGGGGAGAAGGAATGAACACACTTTGAGAAGTGTTTTCCATGTTTGCAACATGTCCATCTGCCCAGGTGCTGAGGGAAGGACTGCAAGGGGAGTCCTAGAAATTAGAACTTGAGGGGTCATTTTGGCCATACCTAGGAGCTCCAAGAACAGCTCAGAGCCACTAGTCAGCACAGGATTTTGGATCTAAAAAGAACCAAACCAGATCTGCAGTTGTTTCTTCCTCTTCCACCACCAGGCCTAACGCACAGAGCAGACTTCTGGGCAGACCAGCCACAGATAGGGCTCTGTCGCTCCCTAGTGGCAGGACCTGAGTATAGCTCCCAGTGTCCCCTTCCAGAAACTCCCCCCTAAATCCCCCCTCCCCACTTCAATTGGGAATTATTTTAGGACAGAGAACCTGCCATATAAGGTGCAACGAATGCCTTATAGGCCTGTACTCAATCCCAGCAGGCCACTTTGGTCTCTTGCATCTCATACGGAGCACAGGAGGCAGGTTGGTGCAGTGGTTATGAGCTGTGGCTACAAAGCCAGACAGATGAGGGGTCAGCTCCTCCAGGACCCCCTGTGGGGCCTTGGGAAAATCACTGCAGCTCAGCCTCTTCATCTGCCCCATGGGGATAACACAGGACCTAACTCAGAGGGTTTGTGACGATTAGAGGGAAGACCCAGGAAAAGAACCATGCCTGACTTCCAGTAAGGGCCACAGGCAAGCTAGCCATTAAAGGTCTGGGTTTTCCCCTGCGCAAATATGACAACCCCATCCCCCATTTAGACAGTAACAGATCATGCTTCTCTCTCTGCTTTGGCTGCTGGGGCTCAAAGTGAAATTCGGGATTCCCCAGAGCACTTCTAAGGGGCTTCATGACTAGCACTTGAGTTTCTCTTTCTTGGTTTTGACATTCTACTCTGATTTGTTCTTGGTCCTCACTTCTTTCTATTTCATTGCTTTAGTTATTTCCTATAAGTCTCCTCAAATCTTTTCTGGAAGAAGATAGGATATAAACAAATAAGACTTTACTTTGGACTTGATAAGTTTGGTTCTTCACACATATATGCTGAGCTAGTTCAGCATATATTTTCAAATGCTATCATCTTTAAGACAAAAGCCTTCTGTGTAAAAGAGAGTGGTTCTAAAATACACACATCAGAAATCACCTTAGAGACTTAAAAAATATTCTAATTCGGAAGGTTTGGGGTAGGCCCCAGGAATCTATCATTTTAAAAAAGTTTCCCAGCTGCTTCTGAGGCAGCCAGCCCAGCCCCTGACCACAGAGCAGTGTTTGCCAATCTCTGGCGTGGAAACTTAAAAAAAGGGATCATTAGTTATAACAATGAATGTCAAATTCCTTTACAAAATATAATTTTCTAAATAAAATAAATCTCAACTTTATTCAACTGACGTGTTTCAAAAACAATGGGTGTAAATCCAAATTGCAAACCAAACCCGTTTAAATTCATTAGGGCAAGGGACTTAGGAAAAAAACCTAGCAGTGAAGCTTTCTGTAAGATCAAGATACTCCTACTTACTTGGCCTTTGAGTTTGGCTTTTCTTAAGGTGGTCACACCTGCAGTAAACGTCCACAGAATGAAGATATTTCCAAGTTCCTTGACGACCCACCTGTCTTAAACCACAAGAGACACCAACATCCCAGACAAGCTCACAGAGGCTGTCTACTAGAGATTCTTGCACCAGCTCTATCTAAGAATTCACCCCAACTCCACTAGGGGGTGCTCCTTCCCAGGCCTGGGACCCTTCCCTATACTGGGGACTGTGGAGACAGAAGTGCCGGGTCAGCCAAGGTGTGTTTCTCACCAGGCACTGAAAGCCAGCCGTGTGAGAGGGAAGGCAGTCATGCAACCACATGAGGTCTCAGTGCCCTTGGGTCTCCACACACACTGTGGCTGCTGTTCCCTAGCTCCAGGCGGTAACAACCCACAAACTACCTCCACAGTTTTTATCACAAAGTAGGGAGAATGGCTCTGAAGGTGCAGCACGAAGGAAGGCCTTACTTCTGGTTCATCAAGGCCAACAATCACTACAAAGGCAAGTGTGGAACACACTGGTGTACACTACAAATGGATGTCACACCAGCCAGGGGAGGGCGGGGGGTTTCCACCTCCCTGAGTTCAAGTCCAAATGGCTCAACTACTCCTTGTACACCTCCCTCCAAAGTGTGCTGTCTGGCGGGATCCTCAGGTGCCCATGGGATAGGACGGCCAGGACTGCGCAGTTTAAAAATCTATTTTATGGACTGCTAAGAGCCCTGTGCTGGGTCCCTGGGAGAGCAGGCGTGCTGGGTGTGAGGGAAATTTCAAACTGTGCCTCCCCAAAGTTAGATCTAGGTCTGAAGACGCCTCACCCCTCTGTCCACCCTCCAGGCCACCGTTTTCACTCTAGCAGGGCCCTCAAGCCTTTCATGATGGGGTCATGAATTCCCCCTTCCTTGGAAACCCAGGGGTCCTGTTTAGCCCCGAGGGGTAGGAGCAATGGCGATCTCACCAAAAGGATGAAATCAGTAACCAGGAAACTCATGTTAAAAATCTGTGACAATTAAGAAACATTCATCAAAAGGGGATCCATGCCACAGACGTGCCTGAAAAGAGCAATACTGCTACAGAAACAGGTGGGAGGTAAATAAGGGAGGTGGAATGGAAGACATACAGAAAAGGGAAGAGAAGATAGTCCAAACGACAGGAGACAAAGACAGGAAGTAGGTGAGGCAAGACAACAAAAGGTGGGGTTAATACTGACTAGGTTTCCAGTTCTTCTGGAAAATTCTGAGTGTTATTTTATGTATTGCCATAAGGCTACTGAGTCTAGCGCCGGTAAGGCCTGTGATAGATGAAAAAATACGCTAACCAGGTCTTTCTGGTACTTTCAGCAATTAATCCCATTAAACAGACTGGCTTTACAATAAATTCCACAATACACTGGGTATTGGGTACAGCCTTAATCCAAGGTTGGTCACAGAAGAAAAAAGGTCTAATCTAGGGTTGGTCACAGAAGGAAAAAGGTCCTGGTCCCTGAAAACAGAGTCTCACAAGGACATATACACCAGGGAAGTCTCCAGGGTGGCATCTGCCCACGCTGGCTAGGCAGAATGGGGGCTCAGCTGACAGTTGCCAATATGTTTCAAGGATGGGAAGAGCGCCAAAGAATTAGAGATGCTAAGACTAGAGATGAGACTATAACTGACAAATCACTAACCTTTGCTCACAGCTTCTTTCTAAGGGGCAAAGGCCCACCAAAGCCTGGGCATGGGTGCCAGGCTGCAGTCTTGGAACCTTAAAAGCCAACAATTCTATTAGCTACTGGAAAAAAATCAGTAATTAGGGTCTTCAGTCTCAAGACTGAACACCCCCAGGGAGTAACAGGCGCCTCATTTTAGAAAGGAGAAACACCCAACAATTGTAATGTGGAAAATCTTGCTGTCAGTAACAGCATCAATGCCTATTTCCTTTAGGTAGCTGCTTCTAGGGGAGGATGACAAGTATTAGCAGTCAGTCATCTACATGTCATTTGGGGGCAGAGGCAAGTGGCTAGTAGCAAGGGCATGTGAATCCATCGACCATAATGGACACAGAAAAAGAGGGCCTCTTTCTCTTCTCTTTGCTTCTGCTCTAGCCTAGGAGCCAGAAAGGCCAGAGTGTGGAAGTCCTGTCCACAAGGCTCACCATGAAAGCCTTCCCGGCGTGCACATCAGCTCTGTGGACAAAACCACCAAAGCCATTCTTTTCCTCCCCCTTCCTTCTTCATCCCTTTCCCTTACATCACTTCCTCCCCCAGTGAGAGTGAGAGTAAGAGTGAGAGAGAACAGGTACTTCTTTCATTTCCTAAGCACCGCGCATCCCGGTAGCACTAACTGCCCCTCCAAGATGTCACAGAAAACAGCAGGTTTGAAATTCCCACTAGGTTACAGATCATAATTACTTCTAAGTGGTCTTCACAGTTAAGACGGACACACATTTCAAAAGGTAGCCTCTGGGCCCCCCTCTTTCACACACACACTCTCACGCAGCGGGAATGTTATTCAGCCACTGGGCTTGGTTGGCTCATGTCAGGTACTGCACCACGAGGAACATGACCACACAGGTGAGCAGCATGCCGCCGATCATAAAGTACTTGTCCTGGAAAGCCCGCTTCTCAATGAGCCGCATCACTGTGTTGGACAAGCCCAGCATGTTGGCAATGTCAAGGATCTTCTTCTGAGTTCCCTGGGGCAGACAAGAAAGAAAGAAAAACAAAGATCAACTTATTTTGCCAAGGGTGGGTGAATGTCATTATGAGATGGGGCTTTCTTGGTCACGCCTAAAGCATACAAAAAGCAGCATCAACCAGAAATAGATCCCTTTCATATGGTCAAATGACTTTTGATCACGGTGCTAGAGCAATGCAAGGGGGAAAGAAAAGTCTTTCCACAAATGTGCTGGAACAACTGGCTATTTAATAAATATCACATATATGTATCATGTACATACATATGTCTCATAAATAACACATATATGTATATGTGTAAAAAAGGATCTTCGATTCATATTATACATTAATATTAATTTGAGATGAATCACAGAATTAAACATAAAAGCTAAAACTATAATAAAGCTTCTAGAAGAAAACAAAGGAGAATATCTAAAAACTGGAAACAATCCAGGAGCACACAAACCAGAGGATGGATTAACAATTTACGATATACCTGCACAATGGGCTACTGCTCAGCAATAAAAAGGACCTAATTACCAAGGTGTAACAACATGAATGAGCCTGGAAAACATTCCTGAGAGGAAGAAGCCACATACTAAACAGTAATATGAATATATTTATATGAAGTTCAATAGCAGGCAAAACTAACTTATGATGAAATAAATCAGAACAGTGGTTGCCCAGGGGGAGGGGAAGACTGACTAGGGAAGGCACGAGGGATCTTTGAGGGGTGATGAAAATGGTCTATGTCTTGATAGCAATGTGAGTTACAAAGGTGTATGCATTTGTCAAAATTCAATAACCTGTACAAATAAGATGTGTATACCTCACTGTATGTACAGTATATCTCAATAAAAAAATTTAAATTAGAGTATTTTATATTAAAAAAAAAGGCAACATCAAAAAATCTTTTCTCTGCTTCCTAGCTCCAAAATCTTTGCTATTAGCCTGTGCACTTTGTGGAGTAGAAACCTCGGGGATTCTGCTGAGTACAATGTGTGGTCAGTGTCCGTGTTTACAAGAGGGTTTGAAGTGGGCAAGATGGAACAACAGAAACACAGCTGACAGACACCAGCACAATGACCTAAAACTCCTTCTATAAACATCACCGCCCACCACCAAAAACAAAAAGGCATTTTATTCCTAAACCAACAACCCAAACCACCCAGCCTGCCCTTCCTCTCTGCTTTCTAATTTTCATTTTTATGCACATTGAATTTCTTATGAAGTAACAAATATAAATGAATGCTGGCCGACCCCAACTTACTTACACACACATCACCAACTGCATTTGTATGGATGGCATCTATCCTAATGCCCCATATCCACTTTTTAAATGAACGACACATTAACGAGCAACTGCGAGAAGAGGCAAGAGAAGTGAGAATGACATGAGGCATCATGGACAGAATTCAATACGGATGTTCTGCCCAGACAATGACTGACAAGCCTCACCGAGAGAGATCTCTCAAGTCAAACTTTATTGCTGCCAGACACCAGAGACATGTTTTTCTCCACAACAGGGATTGTAAAAATTAGACTCTCGCTAAAGATTTTGCTGAGCTGTGAAAGCGCAGATTATTTCATTACCCTATGAAGTTCAAGTATCTAGCTTCTAAAATCACCTTAAAATTAACATCAATTTCAAAAAATGTATTGATTTTCAACCACAAATTTCCCCAATCAAGGCTCAGCTCCTTCACGCTGTCTCCTATGTTCCTTTCAAATGGTTTAGGCAGAAAATTCGCTGATAGAAATGGAGTGGGAGGCCGGTGGAGGGAATCCAAAACAGGTAGCAGTAGGTGTCATTGGAAATGGAGTTAGAAACCTCACTCTCCAACCCGGCACTTCACTTCCAGTGACAGTGTAAGGGCAGAAGTCGCTTGGACTCCTCAGTGATACCAGACTTCAGCAGGAAGCCAACATTTGCTTTAACAATAAACTCTAACCCACCCTGGGTCAATGTCAGTGTGACACGGTGAGTCTTGTCCTAAAAGGGTTTTACTGTTTTTCTGAGATATGGGAAGGAGGCCAGCAGTTTACTAAAGAAAGGGCGGATTAATCATCATGTATCAGTTTAGATTATTGCAGGTGGCTGTTCTGGAAGGGGGCACTCATGAAGCTGTCGGAGACCACACTTCCAGACCACCTGAAGGACTGCAGCCGTCAGCAGGAGGTAAGCGTCACCTGCGGCTTGCCTGACCTTCTCTCTGGTGAAGATGGCAGGGGCTGTGCAGAACTGCACTCGAGTCCTGTGGAGCTGACAGGCTCAACGTGGTCCAACAAAAACTAAGATAAGGCTCACACTTCCGAGTGACTGTTTCTCACAGCTCAGTGGCTGGGAGTGCTTCGTTCACAGGGGACCACACCCTGATAATAGGCACAGCCCACACCCCATTATCCAACAGGGCTGATACAGGAAAAGGGCTGAGGCTGAAGCCTCAGACTGACATCAGAGTCTGTGTAATGTTTCTGTAAACCACTCCCAGGAGTTTGAGTCTCAGCCAATGGGGCAGGGTTTCTAGAACACCTGTGACCAGAGAGAGAGGCAAGAGTCGTGCTCTAGAAGCTATCTCCTGCTGTCAACCATGGCAGTCCTAAGAAACCACCCAGGCGGATTCAGTTAGTACAAAAAGGTCTCGGGGATAACGCAGTCACAGTAGGGACCCTATGGGAAAACACCTGAGTGAGACGCCAAAGTACAGCCACGCATTCCTTCTCATGATAGTGGAATCTATAAGAGAATTTCTTAGTCTATTATTGGTCCCTCTCGTAATAGCAGTCACTTTCCTAAGTGCAGGAAATGGAAAAAGACCTGGATACCAAGAGATGCCACATTATGGTTCATTGCAAGCACAAGAAATACCTACTGGCAAAGGGAATTTGTTTACTTTTGGACTCACAATAATTCAACTCCAACAGGAAGGATCCCAAACTCAAAGATCCTGTCTCACCATTATAATACCACAATTTAGGGACACGTAATCAAAAACGTAAACGCAGGTGCCAAACTGCTGGATGAGGCCAAAAGGGCTTCTCCCTGTCCCCCAGAAGGGCCCCCACCTTCAAGGTCAGTCTCTGGGCCCTCAGTCCCTCCAGAATACTGTGCCCGCCTCCAATGAGGTCATCCATGCCGTGGTGGATTTTCTGGAGGGAGGAGTTAAACTGCAGGGATTCATCCATCGGTATGGTGGTGTCAGAGTCCTGTGAAGGAAACGCAGGCACTGAATTAACTTTGCTTGCTGGTCAGCTCCTGGGTCCCACTGAGTCTGACTGCTCTGCCTTTCGGCCAAGGCCAAGGCAGAAGAACAGCCAGAGGGAATGGCGCAAGAATCAGAGGAACCTAACAGAGAAGGAAAAGCAAAGCAAAGATCTGGGGTGGCCTCTGTTCACTCAGAGGAAGAGGAACCTCCCTCAGACTTGTCACTTTCCAAATGAGTTCCACTACACAGTCTGGTTAATTCCTGCCTCTCTAGCATTATCCCCACTTAGGAAAAACTCTATCCCTTTAAGACCTCGCTGTACTTCTCCTAAAGGCTTTCTCTGACCACTCATTAACCTAGCTTGTAGCAAACATTCCTGCACTTGGACTCCCCTTAATGCAGTATTAGATGTTTGCTTTCGTTCTCTGGCTATTTTATCTACAGCTTATCCCTCCAATTAGACTGAGCCGGACTAAGGACAAAAGAACTGTGCTTTCTACTGGAGGCCTAGCAGTGTTCAGCATGGGACTATTTTCCTGAGCAGGGAAGAAAAGTCTATAAAGAAATGAAGGGAGAAAAAACTAACACTGATCAAATGCTTTCCACTTTGCATGCTCATTACCCTAAGCTCACTTAATCCTCATTGTAACCTTATGAGGTAGTTACTATGTTACCCTCATTTTAGAGATGAAGAAACTGAAGCCCAGAGAGGTGGAATAAGTTGTCTGAGATCACAAAGAGCTTGAAAGAAGTCCAGCAGGGCATGAATCCCAGTACTGGGTGCAGACCCTGCCCTCTCAACCATCCGGTAGGGAGAAACACCAAGACCAATCTTCGGGCTCTAATTTTCCCACCTCCCGACGATCACAAACTCTTCTGCCAAGCAGGGCGTTTTTACCACTTTCAATCATCACAAAGAGGCTAAACCACCTTTTATTTGCTGCTCAAGTTCAGAATCATTTTTCACGTGCACATTTTCAATCCCTCCTGCTAAGACGGGAGGTTCTCACAGGTAGGAGTCATGTCTTTTAATTTTTTCACACACTCTACTACCTTAAGTAGGGTTCTGCATACAGCTAATGCTCAGTGGGTCAAAAGACTCCAGAGTTTGAATAAATCAATTAGAGACTTCTTTTCATTTATTTAACAAAGATTTATTGAATGCCTTCTATATACAAATCTTTCTTAACCCTCCCATCTGAAAGGGTATAGGTGATGGGCCATTATCTCTCAGAAAAATGTATTATAGCTCCAGACTGTAGAATGATGAGGGAGAAGTTCATTCGGCAAGTCAGTTTTTATTAAGGGCCCACTGTATGCACAGCATCACACCAGGCTCGTAAGAAACAAAATAATTCTAAGCAATCATCCCCAGCCTAAAAAAGGCCCAAATACCCAACGCCATAACTATCAAAAGCCCACACATCTTTTAGTGTGTCGTATAATTCATTACACTTTTGAAAGGCAGCTATGCTTACCATTATACCACCAACACGTCTCCATTACCCTTCTGAATTGTTAATCATTGTTACTTGACTGCTTACTCTAGAGAAACAAAAACTACGTATGCAGATTCTGAAACTTGGGGAAACTTACTACAAGTGTGGACACAGCAAAGAGAGTTAAACATCTGCAAAGTGGGAACTGATTTGAATTCTGATGTCAGGCTTAGAAAGCTAAGGCCTCTTTAGAAAATGAACCTCTCTGTAAAAAAATAACCCAAAACCCAAAAAAAAAAAACCAAAACAAAACCCAAAACTCCCCTAAAACCTACCTCATTTGGTGGACTATATTATGCATGACATGAAAAAGGGCAACATGTTCTATATGTTTCAACATGTGCAGGAAATGATTCTACTGAGACCAAAGGGCAGAAACAAAGGTGTTCTAAGAGATCAAACAAGCAAACCAAAAGGCCACTTTCAAACAGGCTCAAGTCAAGCCATCCGTCTAAAACGAAGTATCTGTTAACAAATTCCTCCAAATTGCTGCTCAGACTACAGGCAAAAACATTTTAATGCATCAGACACTGGAACCACACACATACACAGGACAATGGCAACCGCCCGAAGGCAGCTTTGAAATGCTGCCCTCACTACAAATGGTCTAAGTTCTTAATCATCTGTCTCTATCTGATCAGAAGAACGTTTCCACCATGTGAACTTCCACCTTTCTGCATCGGACCAGTCAAACCAGGTAATTTTCACCTCTGCCCAGTCCCTCAATTTAACTGCTTCCTCTTCAGGATTTTGTGTTAGAAAAAGAGATTCCCTGTCTAGGGCTAGCCTCTGCGGCAGTGCACGAAGTCCACTGTCTTTCCAGTTGGTCTCCTCCTCCATCTGCTTCAGACACCCCGTAAAAGGATGACGCTCAGAGACCTGAGCCCCAGCTCCAAACAAGCTGTCAAGTATCTGCAGACCCCCGCCCGGCACCTGGCTTACGTTAGTGGTGAAGGTGCGAGACAGAAGCTCCTCTCGCTGCCTCTCTTGCTGCTCCCTTGTGTATCGCTGATGCTGGAAGTTTCTGAGAGCAGTCTGGAGGTGCTGGACATCATACTTTAACTGGTCAACACGACTAGAATTGATAGAGAAAGAGATTAAATTCCAGGAACCCGGGGCAGCACAACTTAAGATAGCCAGGCTTTGTATTCAGGAAAGATGATGTTTCCTTGCTTCTCCCTACACCACTCCACGCTATCCCCCCAAAATAATCTAATTTTGATCAATGACGGTGAAAGTAAAGAAGTAGCTTGTGGTTCAAGTAGGGTTGTAGCACATGAGATTCCAGCAGCTTTACTTAAATATCTGCTGGTCTCTGATTCTGGATGTGTGACAGGGAACAGGTCACAGGAAGCAGGTTCGATGACCTCTTCCTGACCTTCTATGGATTATATCGCTCTCCTGGAAGAAGCCCAAGGGCATCTTTGGAGTAAAGCATCAACGAAGTTCCATAAAACTTTTGGGAGCAGGGGCTGGGGTGGAGGTGGTGAGGGTGGTTTCATATTAATTTCACGAGAGAGTATCAAACATTAGATCGGTATTTCATTATAAATAGACTGATTGAAGTGATTAAGAGTAAGATTTCATTTCAACCTAAGAATGCAGTGAGAACCAAAGGGCAGAGTAAAACTCCCTGGCAGCATCAGGCTTCAAGCGGCCATGGGTCTGGACAGAAAAAAAGTACTAGAGGCAAAATTTCAAAATGACACCAGCGAGGTAAGAAGACACAAGGCTTCTGAGCCACTAACCTCACAGGCTTTTTATTTTGGGGAAGCATCACTCAAATAGAATTGTGCCCTTTATGGGGACTTTATCTTTGCATAGTCTCAGTTTTTCAATGTGTAAATGGATTTTCAGAACATTCAACAGCCTCCCCTGGAAGAAAGGCCTGCCTTGACCAGCCTGGGGTGTCAGAGCACTCACAGTTTGGCATTCTGTCTTTTGTTAGGGGGCTCCTTGCTGGACAAAATCTCCAGACGTTCTAGATGGCTGAATATCTGGTCTATGCTCGCTTGGATTTCGTTTTCTACTACTGCATAAAAGAGAAAAAAGAATAATTGCTGGAAAAGAGATAGTGAACTTAAATTAGAATGATAAATTAAACATGTCTTTTTTTCATAGCCAATAAACTGAAAAAAACATATTTCAAAAGGAAAAAAATGCATACACTATGGAATAATGGAAAAAAATTCAAGTTATACTAAATGACTCTGTAAATGTTGTTTCAAATATATATATAGCTGTTAATGCCATAACAATGCCAATTTTTTAAAAAGCTGAAGATAAATCTATAGAAATAAATTTCCTGCCTTTAGAAAATAAAATACACATTTAAAGGTTGTCCAAATAAATATTTTAAGAAAAAGCACTATTTTCTGATACAGAATGAGGTCTCTTTTCCTTTGAGATTATTCTCAGATATGGGTTATAAATATCTAGTAAAAAGACTGCCAATTGAATTCCCTACAGTAATGAGGTTTTAAAAAAAAGCACAAGAAGATTAGTATGTGAAACACAGAGAAGAGCTCCCTTAAGGCTTTCCATAAGAATGGGTAGGCTGATGCTTGAGGCCCCAAAATAGACCAAATATCAATAGGAAAGGTCCAGGAAAGAATCCACAGAGGTAAAGATATGATAAATACAGTCATTTTCCTTATCCCTTTTGATAAACAGTCAAAATGACCTCTTTTCCACTTCTTATCATGTAACAATGAGATTGTTGGGAAGGCAAACAGTCGAGGGATAGAAACGAAACTGTGCACCAAAAAAAGGCATCCAGTTTGCTTCTTGCCCAATAAAAAAAATGACAGTAAAAACACCAATGTCACCCTCCTAGGTTAGTCTAAAGCTAACAAGCACACTTTAGATTAGAACAAGGTGGGGTAAAGAACCAAGAGAAGAGATGCTTTTGAAGCTGCAGAAAGGAGACATGAGAAAATAGGAGAACTGGGTATGGGGACAGCCAAGTAGTGAGGCGAGAAGACAGCTTCTGCAGTGTGTGGGTACCAGTAGTGTCTGTATGACCAACTCAGAAAAAGGACCTTTTCTTGTGATAGAAAAGAAACTAAAAAACTAAAAGCAGCACTGTGGGAACTAAACTAATTACTATTACTATTCATTTCTGAATAATCCTCCTAAAAAGCCTCAGTTCTCAGCTCAGAAGAAACAACCAATTCCAGTTAAACATCTCTGAATTTTTATGGAGTACATTCCTTTAAGGACTAGGTAATTAGATTAAGACAGATGGAGGAAAGAGCTCCCATTCCCATAGGGCCATGTCAGGTTGAGTGGAGGGGTAATGGGGGATAAGACTTGGACTCCAAAGGGCACACTCAGGGAAATCAGTGACTTTGCCATCAGGGTTTCTGTCCACCCTCACATCAGAACTCATTCCACGCTGAATCATTAAGCCCCGGAGGCAGAAATGCAGTCAGGAAACCCAGCCCATTAGCACCATGTCATCAGAGAAAGGACTCTGGTCTCCATAGTTAATTACTCACAGTGCAGAGACTGCTTGTCTGCCGTCTCCAGGCGTCCCATGTGAGACTGGATCTCGTGGACCCGCCTATCAAAGGAAGAGGGAGGAAATGAGTGAGACAGGAGTAATCAACAGCACTTCAGTCAGGAAAGACAATTTTTCTGATGCTAACATGTAACTGATTTAAATTGACAGCATCACTGAACTGTAAAATTTGTATGTGGCACTTTAGGCCACATGTTTTGGCATGGTTTCTAATACTTTAACATTAATATTAATAATAATACTGATAGGCAGCATTTATTGAGTGCTTACGACATCTGAGATATTCTGCAAAGTCAATAACCCTGTGAGGAAAGGACTATTATCATCCTCATTTTATAAATAAGACAACTGAAGCCCAGAAAGGTTATGTAACTGTTCAAGGTCATACAGCAAGCGATAAACCTCGATCTGGACCCAGCCAATCCCACTCTCTGTTCTTTGACCCAATGTGCTGAGCACTGGTCTGTACTAGGGAGAGTCAAAGGGCAAAAGAGATATAATCCTTGTCCTTGAGAAACAATGTAATTAGGAACGACAGGCCAGATAGACAAGAAAAGTCCCAAGAAGATTTAAGAGAACACTAGAAGTGTAAACAGAAAGAAAGCTAAGAAGCTACGCACAGTGGTGCCAAGCAAAGGCAAGTAAATAAGAGTAAGCTGGGGGCAGTTGTGTGGATGAAGGGATATCTGAACGTCATTTTGAAGAAGGGAGACATGATTTGGTAAAGGAAGATATGAAGAAAATGATATGCAAAAAGGCATGCAGGGCATGTCACATGGATCCCAAGGAGGCTGGCCTGCCTGAAAGAGAGCCAGGGTCAGAGGGGAGAGCGGGATGAGGCGATTAGTTGGAGGAAACCATTAGAGGAAGGCCCTGAAAGATAGGGATCTCTTGTTTGGTAAACATCTTTCTCTGGCGATATGAGGTGATTGCCATCTCATCTGGAAATGCAACACTGTCCCCTGGACCTCTACGTGGTCCCACACATCAGGCCCCAGAGCACTCTCTAGAGGGTCCCCAGGGCTTAACCAAGGCCACCCTCAGAGCCCTCCCTAGCGGTCCTCTAGGGTCAGTGCTTGGAATACTGCTTATGCTACCCCACCACCTCCTGGGGCTTCTGGTCTCTCCACGTTACAGCCACACGAAAGGGCCTACTGAGCTCTTATGTCATCTCCAAGCCTTGAGGGAGAGGTCAGCAACCATCCTCTACCATAAGCACCACAAACTGTGACCCCAAATTTACCAATGTAAGCCAGGAGCTCAAATTTGGTTTCAACATGCCTCTACTCTTTTCCAGGGCTTCCCTGCAGCCTCTAAACATGACGCATGGCATCAGAAGCAAGGCCAGCTCTCTAAAGACTCTCAGAATGCTACTGGGCAAGACCCATGGCCCTGAGAGGCAACTAGAAATCACTACTCAAGTCTGAAACCAGACTGCTACTTCAGTAAGGTAAGTCCAAATATTTTAGAATGGGGGCACATGGAGATATGGAAGCAGATGTAGGAATGCAGCTTGAGGTAACCATGGAAACAGCTATAGAGGACTGGATGGCGAAGCTGGTGGAAAGGAGAATTAGGATTTTATTGAAGGCATGAATGTAGGCAGTGAGGTAAATTTTCAACAGCAGCTTAACACAGCAAATCTGAAAATTAATGGCATTATCAACAGGAACACGAAAATAAAAAAAAAGGGGGGGGGGCGGGAAGGAGGGTAGGGAGCAAAGAATAGCCAAGACCACTCTGAATAAGTGTGAGAGGGAGGACTTTCCTACCTGCTATTAAGACTTATTACAAAGCCATAATAAGTAAAACAATAGGGTAGTAGTGCAGGGACAGATAGACAAACCCTAACCCTACCCCTGACCCAACAGGAAAGAAGAGAGGCCAGAAACAGTCCTACGTATTTGAGGACTTGGTGCCATAAACCAGTGGGAAAAGAATGGACTACAATAAATGCTGACAGCTCAGTTTGTTATCCCTATGGAAAAAAGATACCTCACATAATACACAAAAATAAACTCAAGATGGTTTAAAGCCTAATGTAAAAAGCAAGGCTTTAAAACTTTCTGAAGAAAATATAGGCGTGCATGTTACGACTTCAGGTTAAAGAAGGATTTCTTAAAACAAAAAACAAAACTATTGCCAAAACCCCACAAACCACAAAAGACTGATAAATTTGACTACATTAAAACAAAAAACTTTTTTACACCAAAGGCACCATAAAAAAAATAAAAAGACAGGCAGGGACTGGAAGATACCTGCGGCAGATAACAAAGGACTAATGTCCAGAAAATATAAAGAACTATTACAAATCAATGGGAAAAGTCAAACAAAGCAATTTTTTAAAATGGGCAAAGGGCAACTGACAGAAAAGGAAACCCAAAAGGTCAATAAATATATGAAAAGACATTCCAGTTTACTAGTAATCAGGAAAATTCAAATTAAAAATAATGAAATATCACATTTATCCCATTAGGTTGACAAATATTTTAACCTTTAAGGATGAGGGATTCATGGCAGGCTAAACAATGGTACCTAAGGGATGCTAGAAAAGATTTCCAGCTTTCCACCACAGCACTGCCTTTGGCTCTACGTTTTGTCCAATATTTTAAAAAAACCCAACTTATTAAATTTTCACATGATTCTGTGTTATAATGAGTGATTAGGATATTGTACCACAAAACAAATAATTAACATTTTTCATTTAGGCTAAAATAGTAAGATGAAATTTGTAAGGGATGAAAAGTATTTTGATTTAAGATTAAAAAAAAAAACTCAAATGCACATTATAGACTGGCATTCAATTCTGGGAGCCATCTGTTACAGGAACCCTATCAATTAAAGGTTTCCGCCAATGGATGATGAACAGGACGGCTGGGAAAGAGTCTAGAAGTCAAGTCATGAAGAGGAATGGTCAACAGAGCTGGTGAAAATGAGCCTGTGAGGAAAGAAAAGAAAAGAAAAAACTAAACTAAACTAAAATGCAGCAGCTAGTGCTCTTCAAATATCTAGAGTTGACATATAGGAAGAGGACTGGCCTTGCTCTCTGTTGCTGCTCCTTAAGGCAGACCCAGAACCAAAAGGTACAAATTTCAAGATGACAGATTTTAACTCAACGCAAGGAAAAAAACGAGAACAATTATGAACTATCTCTTCAAGAAAAGGGAAAAAAAAGAGCTCCTGCATGTTTAAATACAGGGTACATGAACAGTCTTGGGTTTCATAAAGGGTCTTCCTGACCAAAGTGAGTTGGAATGGAAGATCTTGCCAGTCTCCTTCAATTTTTAAATTCTATGAGGGCAGCAGGAGAGATGATGCCAACGCCCACAAAACCCTATAAACACTCTTCAGCTGGCTTTTACTATTGTCTAAGCTAAAATAATAAACTTTAAGTTGCAGGGAAACATTACTGACTTTTCCCACCCAACTTCTATTTGCTTTGAATGAACTAGAAAAGATATAGCCAATAAACTGATTCCAATCTCTACATTTCATGCCTGAGAGGAAATAAATGCAAAACAAGTATGAATAGCATGGTGGGAACTACTACACGCCAGTGGCAAATCTGTTTTAAACTGAACTGGGAATTCAGACAACACACTTAAAGCCAATAAGGAAGAGGTGATACACAACTACGACTTGGGAATGTGGACACCAGAACTCGGAAGTCCTAGCTCTGTCTAGCCTGGGGTCCATGGTGGTCTTGGGTGATTACATAACCAAGCAGAGACCTAGTAGCAAGCAAGCAAGGGTCGCTGTTGCCGATTTTTTTAAAAAAAAAAGTCTGTAGAAGATCTGGAAGAATTTTAAAATGGAATTTCTTTTTTAAAGTCCATGGAACTACCCCTGCCCCCCATCATATATGTCCACTTTGCATTCATGCTGCCTCTGAGCACCGTGAGCAGGAAACAGAGTTTTCGAGTTAAAAGATCTGGGTTGAAGTTCTAGTTCTACCATGTAGCAGCTGAGGGACACTGAACAGGTCATGCAACTCCTTGGGGCCTCAGTCTCTGCAACGATAAAACAGGGTACTAATAATCACAATTATTTAGAAGATCACAGATCCAAATGCAAACTGAAATGCTGTGTAACCTATACAGCATCATACAAAAGTTTGTTTTTACTGAATTTTACTTAAAAGTAGTGGGAACCATCTAGTCATTTTCACCTCACTCACTTGCCTCTACAATATTTAGTCTCTCACCAGAAGGCAAAATCAAAAAAAGGAACAACTGGTCTCAAGATAGATAAGGTAATAGCTTTTAAACCCAGCTGTTCATCAAAATCACCTGGAGAGCTTGTTAAAAATAGAGCTTCTTGTGCTCCAAACCTACTGAATCAGAATCTCTAGGGATAATAAGGCCCAGCGCACTGAAGGGTCCTGGACTACATAGGGGACAAATATGGGCACCTTCACAACCACTGTGTTCTCAAAAATAGAAGCCTGGCTCTTAGCTCCTCTATTAAAGTTCATCCCATTGCAGTATTATTTAAGTGTAAAATGTTTATTCTAATATTCACCCTTTTTTCACTCATTATTCAGGCAGTTCAGGAGTTTTCAAGATACATAACTTTAAAATGTTGATCTAATTCCAATGTATTTTTGGGGGACATGGCAAGAGATAACCACAAAATGGGTTCAAAGTTCCAGTAAAATTAATATGTTCCATTATTGTTGCATCAATTCAGCTACAATCATCAATTTCTGCAACTGCAAAAGTTAATTGCTGATGCTCACAAGACTCAGTATGTTTCCTTTTAAAGACACCCAATCACCAGTATTATGGAGCTGAAAGGAGCCTTACAATTTAACCAGCTCAAAACTATCATTTTATAGATGAGGAAAGCAAGGCAAAGAGGTCTAGAACCAGAACTCCCAGTCCCAGCTCAGTACTTAAGGGGAAAGGCAGATCAGAATATACCGCAGCATGAAAGAAGGTAAACTCCCAGAGGGCAGGGCTGTACTGTCTGCACTGGGAACGGTGCGAGACATATAGTAGGTGCTCAATAAATATTCACCAAATGAATGACCGCCTGCCTAGAAGAGGGCCAAACAGTGGGAGGCCAAATCTGGCCCACTGTCTGTTTTCATAAGTAAAGTTTTATTGGAACCCAGTCACATCCATTTGTTTACATATAGCCTTATGGCTGCTTTTGTGCCATAAGAGCAGAGTTGAATAGCTGCCACAGAGACTGTATGGCCCACAAGGCCTAAAATATTTACTATCTGGCTTTCCACAGAAGAAGTTGGCAAGCCCTGCTATAGAGTCTGAGGGTCTAGAAAGTCTGAGGGTAGGTTGTTGGAGGGCTGCAGAGCTAAGTAGTTCGTCTACACTCCACAAATCTTGTTTGGGACACCATTTAGTATCGTAGTTTTGCAACTCTCCCTACGTTTACATAGAATCGAGCTACCTCGATTACTCTGTGATCAGCTACCTGCTGCACTGATAACACGTAGTCTGAGACTCTGAACAAAATTATTCTCAATAATAAACTGGGTCCGTGGCCTCCTTAGCAACACTGTTTAACCAAATTAACTAACCAGATGAGACTGTACATCACAGATTAACTTCAAGGCACTACCCAGCCCACTGTGCCTTGCTATTGTAAAAGATATGCCCTTTCTTAGTAACATGAGCATGATTTTCTGTTTCATTCCTTTTCTAATTGACTCACAGGTCTAGTTTTTAAAGTCCCTTCCTATAATTTTATATGCGAATAGGGTTCCCCAGTGTAAGAGCAAATTCTGTCATTCTTATACCATTACAAAGTGGGTTCTAAATTTTCACCCATCCAAACCAAACATTTCATCACTAAAGTAAAAAGAAAGAAACCCATAAACTTAGCAAATGAAACAGTAAGAGGATCATCATCCTCTTATTCCTAATGCTCCAAAGTATTTCTTGTAAATTCATTAGGGGAGGGGAGTCCCTATTTTATTTCATTTTCAGGCCCTGGGGATGTGATTTTAAGTGTTTTCATCAGCACAAAACTACAGCATAAATTTGAAAGTTGTTAAAATAGGATAGGTATAGGTATACACTCCAAAAAATTGAAAACAGAGACTCAAACAAGTATTTGTACACCAATGTTCATAGCAGCATTATTCACAATAGCCAAAAGGTGGAAACCACCCAAGTATCCATCAACAGACGAATGGATAACAAAATGTGGTGTGGGTATGTACACCCCCCCACACACAGACAGGAATATTATTCAGCCATAAAAAGGGATGATATTCTCAGGGCAGGGCCAGCCCGGTGGCGTAGTGGTTAAGTTCCCATGCTCCACTTCGGCAGCCCAGGGTTCCTGGGTTCGGATCTGGGGTGCAGACCTACACACTACTCGTCAAACTGTGCTGTAGCAGCGTACCATACAGAAAATAGAGGATGACTGGCACAGATGTTAGCTCAGCGCTAATCTTCCTCAAGCAAAAAGAGGAAGATTGGCAACAGAAGTTAGCTCAGGGCCAATCTTCCTCACCAAAAAAAAAGGGGGGGATGATATTCTGATACATGCTACAACATAGATGAACCTTGGAAACTTAAAGTGACATAAGCCAGATGCAAAAGGACAAATACTGTATTATTCCACCATATGAGATATCTAGAATAGGCAAATTCAGAGACAGAAAGTAGAATAGAGGGTACCAGGGGCTGGGGGATGGAGGAATGGGGAGGTACTGCTTAATGGGTTCATGAGTTTCTGTTTGGGATGATGAAAAAGTTCTGGAAATGGGTAGTAGTTATGGTTACACAACACTCTGACTGTACTTAATGTCACTGAACTATACATATAGAAATCATTAAATCTTCAAATGGTAAGTTAAATGATAAGGGTAACTTTAAAAATTAAAAGGTTAACTTTTAGGGGCTGGCCCCGTGGCTTAGCGGTTAAGTGCACGCTCTCCGCTGCTGGCGGCCCGGGTTCGGATCCCGGGCGCGCACCGACTCACTGCTTCTCTGGCCATGCTGAGGCCGCGTCCCACATACAGCAACTAGAAGGATGTGCAGCTATGACGTACAACTATCTACTGGGGCTTTGGGGGGAAAAATAAATAAATAAATAAATAATTAAGAATACAATGGTAGTTGATTTATAAAAAAAATTAAAAATAAAAGGTTAACTTTTAAATGGCAAATTTTATGTAGAGTTTACCACAATAAAAAACAAATAAAAATTTTTTTGCCAAAAAAATAAGATAGGTATGAGTCTATTACCATACTCAATTACACACCTCAGCAACTTCCAAAAATGCAAGACAATATGAATAACGGACACTACCAAGGAATTTAAGACATGAGAAGCTAAACCAAAATTCGATTTCCTTAAAGGTAACCTGTAACCAGACATAAATAACAAGTAATGACGCTGAACGCTCCTTGTACAGCAATTTCCCTGTACCATAAAAATATGGTTTTCAGAGTAAACCAAACCAGAAAAAAAGAAAGAAACCACAGTGTAGCAGCAACAAGATTAGGGTCAGTCAAGAGAAGGGACTCACATCATTTAGCAGCTGTGAAATATAATGAAACTTTTTCTGATGACCTTAGCTCAGGAATGGATCCTTCTAAACTGCTTAAGAAGATCCTGTTTGTACTGCTCATTTACCCTCCACCGCATCGTGCCACACGTTAGATCTTTTTTCGTACGTGCTTTGATTCTCCAACTAAACAGTAAACTCCTCTGTGCAAGGGCCCTGACTCTCCACCAGCTCTGTCAACCCGGAGCAGAGTTGGCAGGTGCTGGACAAAGTATTACAACCGGTAGGTGCGACTTTCCCTTCAACTACTCTACCCAGGAGGTAGTCACGGCCTCGAAGATGCCAGGAGCCATCCGGCCAACGTCCCCGGGCACCAGGCCGGACCCTTCGTCCGCCGCTGACCTGGGCATCCCGCCAGAGATTGAGCACTTCCGAGCTGTCCCCGGCAGCGCCCGGGCGGAAGGACTCGGCCTCCACACTGGCGGACGCCCAAGGCCCCAGCCCGGGTGTCCGGCCTTGCCCAGCCTGGCTTCGCCCCCGCCCGTGCCCCGACGCTGCCCTCACTTGTGCGTTTGCTGGTACAGCGGCTCCATGTTGCCCGCCCTGCGGGTCCGGCTCGGGCTCTCTCAGAACACGTCCTCACAACCCCCCTTCCGGCTTCCGGCTTCCGGTCGTAGGACCTTCCCTCCCCTGCCGGCTAGGGCTGTCCCCACGCGCGCCCTACTAGTGATGGTGGCGAGAGAGGCGAAGGGAAACGAGAAAAGGGGCCTAGAGAAGAAGGCTAAGTGTCGTCAGAGGTTCTGCCTCAGCTGGGGGACGAGGAAGTATAGGTTTTGGCAGGACGTTGTCTTCAGCATTGAGTCAGGCATTGGCGAGGGCAGTCACATACCACTGACGTGAGGTCCTCAGAGCAAGGTTAGAGGCGAGCGGGCGGGTACGTGCTCTGCCCTGCTAGAGGAAGGCTGGTGGGTGTTTGCTTGGCTTCGCGTTAAACTGTTTAGTTGTGGTCTGGAGATTTCGCTGTTCGCCGGAGTCTCTGGCGCAAGCTTCTCCTATCTCAAATTTGTCCACTCACTCTCCTCCCCACCCCCTACCCAGCATTGTTCCGTCCAATACACCTACAATGAATGAGTGGTTACAATGTGTCCTGTGTGCTGTGGGGGAAACCGGGTTCCTCTGCCTTCAAAGAGGTCGCGATCTAGGAAAGAGAGTAAGATATGTGTACAAATAAACATCTACAGAGTAGAAAGTCCAAAGAGACCAGCCAAACTGGGGTCAGCTCCAGTAGGAGATTCAGGAAAGACAATGTAGGAGATGGCATTTGAGTTAGGACTTGAAGGATTTGAACACTTCGGCCTTTCCACATAGACCTAACCCATTTCCATCCTCCCAGGCTTATCTTCGGTTCCTCCCAAGGGAGGAGATGTTCCTCTTCCTTTGACAAGGTGATGCTTCTATTTTCCTGTATCCTGGATCCCACCCAGTTTTGTGTCCCAAGAGGCTGTCCACCCATGTACAGTCTTTCCCTAACATTTTCCCATTTATACTAATATTTATTTATTAATGAGCACCTGCTATTACCAGACACAGATATTAGGGGTAGGAATACAAGTAAGACAGCCCTCAAATCTCTCATTTCTCATAGTCTGTTTAAGAGCTAATTATGCCCTCAAGCTATGTTATCAGGTAGAATAAGTGCTACAATTGATACAAAATACCATTTCTCTGGAGAAGAGCAAGAAGAGTTCATGGCCTAATTAAGTATGAATCAATAGTATCAATAGAGTTTTAACAGTGTCTTGCACACGCTAACCACTCTGTAAATGTTTATTGTATTGGCCTGGTGGAGATGAAGGGAAGGGCATTTGAGGCTGAGGGGATAACTTGAGCAAAGGCAAATAAGGGGAAAGAACATAGATCTCCTGTGGCTGGGTTTTGGGGGCTTGGGGTATTAATAGTATTAGAAGGAAAGTTGGAGCCAGATCATGGAGGATCTTAAATGTCATGCTTAGATTTCTATTTATAGATTTTTGTTCTATAGGTAGTTGGAAGATATCAGAGGTTACACAGAAATTTTAAATTTTCTCAAAGAATTTGTATGCCTTTATCTTGTTATTCTTTGGACCTCACAGCATCCCTGTGAGGTACATAAGACAGATAAGGAAACTGAAGTCCAGCGGACCTCCCCGCTGCCTCTCAGTCTCTTAGGCCTTTGTATGTGCTTAGGCCTTCCTCTAAAGAGAAGAAAACTCCATCACTCCATCTTGCTGCACTTTTAACCTCTATCTCATTTCTTTTTCTTTGATGGCTAAACCACTTGGACAATTGATCTACACTGCCAACATTCTGTATGGGTGACTTGCCCTCCAACCTCTCCTAGAACAGTTTTCTAGGCTCACCAGAGTTCATCTGACTTAGTCCAGTGGTCTCTTTCCATGAATCATCTGACATATATTCACTGAGCTCCTACTATGTATCAGGCACAATGCAAGGGCTGGGGTACAAAGATGAGTAAGACATCAGTTTGCCATAGAAGTTCTTTAATATACTGGGAGTGAAACATCTACACAGATAATTAGAATACTATGTGGTGAGTGTGGGATACAGGTAACTAGGAACTATGGGGTGACAGAGAAGGGACACTTAGCCTAGTTTGGGGATTCAGGGGGGCATCAAAGAGGAGATGATACCTAAACTGAGTTTTGATTTATTTATTTAATACTGGTTACATCATTACTCATGATGCTGCATCATCCTTCACACTGCCCATGAATACTGACTTCAAATGACCCAAAGTTTGCTACTGTGCTTCATTGATGATGACACTAATGGCAAGTTTTACCTAGAATATGCAGGAAAATATGAATAATAATTCACTATTCAGAATTTTGTAGTGTAAATCTACACTAATGTATCTTCCAACCATGTCTTCTCTTGAATTCTTTAGGCCTTAATTATTGCATTCCTAGAATATGACCTCTTCCAGTGTTGGCTGCACCCCTGCCTTCCATACTGAAACCAGTTGGCAGGGGAGGGGGTGGTTAGGCTAGGGGCCCATGGGTGGAGCAAGAAGAGAAGTCCTAGTCACACAAGGAATATCTGGCCCTCACCTGGCCCTGCTTAAGACTACTCAGTGGTTCATGGGGTCACTACATTGATCAGAAGAAAGAGAGGACATTGATTGTAAAAGCCAGTTGGCAGAGTAATGGTCTCAAGTGGAGGAGATAGGCACAGCCACCTCTGGAGGACTGCTTGACATGTGGTGCAAAGCCTGTGGAGGGAGTAGGATGACCACCCTTACCAGTTAGCGGGGGGAGCCCCACACAGGGCAAAGGATGCTGCCACCCCCACTATTCTGGTGGGCTGTAGACCAGAGGCAGCCCTATGGTCAGAATACAGGCTTGCAAGAGCCATAGCATGGACCCACACAGGTGGCTCAACCCCAAGGGTCAGCAGTGGACTGTCAGTAGCCCAGAGTCCTGAACTCATTATCTATCCAATGTGAACAGGAATCACTCCAAATCAGCAAGTCAGTACCGTTCTGGTGGCCCGAACTTGTGCAGTTCCACAGAAGAAATACTGTGCTGGCCAATAGAAGCAATCTGCTTGCCAGGTTGCCCTGGACAACCCATATGCATGCGCCCGGAAGCTTTTCAGGGCACCCTGTCAACCCCATGCATGGGGTGGAGGGTTAGAAAGTACCCTGAAGAGGAGAAACAGACTAGAACGACCCCAGCCGCCCAAGGGGACTTAGAAAAATTCAAAAATAGCACTCCAAAGTGTGGGGCCCCCTGAAGCCTGGGACCTGGGCCAGGGACTTTGCTTGCCTAGGTCTTAGGACAAGATTGTGTGGTAGAATAAAGATGGTCTCATATTCTTTGCTACTGCTCCCATTAAAAGATGGAATCAATTCCATTCCCTTTAAATCTGAGCTGGCCTTAGTGACTTGCTTGACCAATTGAATGTGGCAGAGGTGAAATTCTGGGATTTCCAAGGCCAGGTCATAAAAGTCTTGCAGCTTCCACCCAGCCTTTTGGAGTACTCACTTTGGTAACCATGAATCACCTTTGGAAGAAGTCTGACTGCCCTGGGGCCACGAGGCTGGAAAGGCCACCTCTGTGAGTACTCCAGTCAACATGACCGGCTGAGACCAGTCTTCCAGCCATGACACCAGACGTGTAAGTGAAGCCATCTTGTACCCACTATACTAGTCTATCCATCAGCTGATTCCCACCAAGTGACCTCTGTAGACTACACGTGGAACAGACAAATCACCAAAGTGAGCCTATGCCTGAATTCCTGTCCCAGGAAATCAAGAGATATGGTAAAATGGATGATGTTTTAAGCCACTGAATTTTGGTGTAGTTTGTTATGTAGCACCAGATATCCGACCTCAAAAAGTTTATCATCTGGTTGGGCAGACAGGGTACAGGGCTTATGAAAAGGTAACAATGAAAGACAATGTATGAGTGTGTAATGAGTAGTAAAGAAAATTCAGTTCTGCCAGAATGCAGGGAAGGAAGAGACCCCTTTGAATTTGGGTGATGAAAGAAGACTTTCCAGAAGAGATGAGACTTCAGATGGGCCTTGCAATACAAGAAGGATTAAGACGTATGGAGAGGCAGGCACAGGGCGTTCCTGGCAAGTAGGGGGATAAAGTCGGAAGGGTGTAGGTGTTCCCAGGCAGTCTGTATGGCTGCTCTTGGCTACAGTAGAGGGTTTCTGTAGTAGAGGCAGATGAAGCTAAAATGGTGAGTCAGAGCCATGCTGTGGACAGGAAGAATGCTTTGCTTCCATCTTGTGGCCATGGGGAACGTCTGGAGGGCTTTGAGCCTTGGGTAATGGAATCAAGTAATATTTCAGGAAAATCAGTATGATGACTTCTTGCTCTCTCCTTTTGTTTGAACTTCAAGAGGTGCCCCACAGTTCCACAGCTTCAGGATTTGGCAAACCAATCCACAGTCGACCTGTTTGTTCCCTTTGTGATGTGATAAACTTGAATGCTCTGAAGAGTATTTTTGATCCATCCAATTTGATGGAACTTAATTCTTATCTCTGAAACCAAATTAAAGTGTTTTGTTTCTCTGACCATCTCAAACAGGTTGAATAGGACAATTCTGTTATCCCTTCTACCAAACCATCTGTGCTCCCTATACTTCCTCCCACCACCCCAGTTTCTGACCCCCTCCCAGTGCACCTTCTGATCCTGTTTCCTCCTGAGCCCCATCTTCCCGTTGTCTACCCCACCTGTGCCAATGCTCACACACCACCTCGCACAATTGGTGCCAGCTGTGACTATGTCTCACTTCCCCTACCAAAATGGAAGAGCCTGTTGAGAGGCCCTCATCACTCCTCAACCACTCCCACCACTTTCCAATCATCCTCTTCAGTGTTGCCCAGAAGATCTTTCTCACACAGAGATTTGATGTCATATATATGTTGAGCCTTCTGATAGCTTTCTGGTGCCTACAGAGCACAGTGAAAAATTCTTATCTTGGTAGACAGAGCCCTCCTTACTGGCCACATCCTTGGCCATTTCCCTCATCCTAACTAGAGTTGTTAATTGCAGCTCTTCTCACAAAGAACCTTTGTGTCCTCTGGCCTTTGCATGCGCTGTTCCCTGTGCTTTAAACACCCTTCTCTCTGCCTCAGGCCTGATTAAC